CCCGCCACCTCCTCCTCCCCACTTCCCAGGCCCTGGGCCCACACTCACGCCTCTGGGGGGGTCTCCGCAGAGGGGCCTCCCTTTGGCCCACCCAGATGGGGTTGGGCAGCCGTGGAGCAAGGACCTCAGCTGGGGGCGCCAGTGCCAGGTGGCCAAAACGCTGCTCACATGACTCTTGAGCCTGCCACCAGCTCAGCTGCTGCCCTGGGAACTTGCACACCCCGTCTGGGGTCTCCACCACCTCACCGGGGTCCACTGGAGCTGCAGGGTCAGAGGAGACACAGTGTGGGAGAGCAGTGTGTGGGCCTGTGACCCTTGGGGTGGGCTGGGCGTGGTGGATACTGAGCTAGGAGTCATTTGGGTCCGAATGCTCTATGACCTGGCGGGTCTAGTCCTTTTGTTTTGTCATCTGTATCCTAGCAAGAATAAAATAGACACAAGTGAAACCTTCACCCCATGGCCGGGGATGGTGGGGCTGAACTAAATGGCATCTCCTCCCTTCCTTTGCCTTAGAGGCCAGTGCACCAGGTGGACCACAGGCTGGCGGAGCTGGGGAAAGGGGAGCCTCTCTGGGGCCCTCATACCAACCTGGGAGCCAAGAGCTCCTTGCTTCACCTGGGGAGTTGGAGGGTGTCCCAGAGAGACTCCTTATCTGAGAGAGAAGAAGACAGGTTGGGGCTGGGTTGGGTCCCCACCCCAGTGTGTGCAGTTAATGGGTGCTCTGGCAGGGTGCACCGGAAGCTGCAAGCTCTGCAGTCAGACCTGGGTTCAAGTCCCACCCAGAGTGTGATCTTGGGCAGGCGCTTCACTGCCTTGAACCTGTTTCTCCCACGTGAGGAATAAACAAGCTGATGAGTGAATGCAAAAGGTGTAGCACCAGTGGATGCTTTTAGTCTGTTGTTATGCCAGGGGCTTATCCTGTGTGACCTTTGCAGTGGCCTCAGAGGTGGCCACTTGGAACCCAGCAGCTTTGAGTCTCCCTTGGCTTCCTCCCCCACATCCCCCCACCAAATTTAGGTACCAGGAAGTAGAGGAGGCAGTAGCACCAGGAAGCCATTCTGGATCCAGCAGGGGCCAGTGAGGGACAGCAGGGGTCACAGGTGTGGCCAATGTGGACTGAAAAGGAAAAACACAAAGGAAAGTAGCTCAGCATCCTGCCTTACTACCCGCTCTGTCCCCTACGGGGTCATATTCCCCATGTTTGGCTCCCAGACCTCACTGGGCTGGGAGCCCAGGATGGGCTGGGCACATCTATGTGACATTTACTTGTACAAAAGGATGGTCTCCAGGAGCCCCTTCTAGGACCACAGCTGGGAAACACTGTAGCCCTGGTGAGCTGGGAACGGCAGGGGGTCAGGGGGAGGGAAGGCCAGAGAATGGTGGGAACAGAGTGTAGGACCCTTGTAGGTCTCCTTGTGTTCTTTTGGGCTCATAGCTCGGCATTCAAGGTTCTGCTTAATGAGGCCTCTGCCAAGCTTTCCGGCCTCACCAGTCTCACTATCCGCCCCTGCAACCACCTTTCCCCCTACCCCCCAAGCTGCTGTCATTCCCCCATTTCTCCAGGCAGCAGCTCTTCTCCAGAGCTTTGACCATCCTGTAGCTCTTGCCCGGACTGGCCTTGCTCCCTCAGTGGCACCTCCTACAAGATCAGCTTGTGATCCCTTCATCTGCTCAGCGCCCTGGCCAGGCGCTGTAGTGAGCTGAGGATACCCTAACTGTGGGTGGTTTGGGCATTACTCTTAAAAGTCTGGGGGGCTTCAGGCCTCCTGGGTCTCTGCTCCAGCAGTGGCCAAGCACAAATGGGTCTCAGAAAACACTGGAGATGAAATAATGCTCCACTGTGTCCTGCCAGCTGGCCTCATGCCATCTGGAAGTCTGAAGCCGTCACCAGTGATAATTCATACCCTTTCCCCCTTTCCAGATAAAGTGCCTAAATATGAAAATCAAACACATCCCAGCATGGGAAAACATGGGGGTTCACACTTTGGACTCTGAAAAGCACCAATTTATTGTCGCTTTTCCCCTTTTTAAACAGCACCTATGTCCGCCCTCCTCCACCCCCCCAACCCCCACTTTAGTGGGTGGGAAATGGTATGAGTCTGGTCCAAGACTGAGGCTTGGTGCCTAGTCTGTGCTGGGCACACAGTGTGGGCTCAATAAATGCTGATTGTCTCACTCCCCTGTTCACTCTGCCTGTATTTGCCCCCACATACTCCTGGCCCCCCTTCCTTGCTCACCAAATACTCGTTGGCACCCAAAAGGGAGATGCGAGGTCTGGCCGCCACTGCGTGTCCCTCCTCCGCAAGGGGCCAGTGGGGAATCCCTCTTGGGCTGATGGGCCAGGACCAGGGCCTCCCCTTCACCCGCACTGATCCCTCTCCTCTTCAAAGCCCGGGTCCTCACCTGCTTTGTCTGGCCCGGCGCCTACGGTCGGCTCACTCGCTGCGAACTGTTTGTGGGACGGAAATCCAGCAGCGGAAATCTGCTAGCTCTCTGCTGTCTGGTGGAAACCTCGGGTGCGGGGCGGGGCCGAGGCGGTGCGGGGGCGGTACTAGCAGACCCCGCCCCTCGACCCCAGCCCCGCGGTCAGGGACGCCCGCCTTCTGGGCGCGCGGAGGGCAGGGCAGGCGCCCCAGCCGCGCGAGCAGTGGGAGGGCACGTGGGGCGGACTGCGGGGAGTTCCCCAGTTTCTGGACTGGACCCGCCGTGCCTCTCCCCCCTTGAGTAGAAGGGGCCACCTTGGGAGGCTTGGATCCCAAGTAAATTTGCGGATCCTTTGAACCAATCCCATCTCAGGCTGGACCGTGGGAAAGGAGGGAGCGTTCAGTAGCCTGCGCTGGCCCCCTGCAGGCCTCATTTCCTTTACCTTCAACCCACCGTGAGGAGGGGCCACCATGAGGACTGAGGGCTCTCCCCCAGGTTAGACAGCTAATGAGTCCCAGAGCCCAGCCTTGAACCTGGGTCTTTCGGTCTTCATCCAGGCCATTCAGAACGTAAGGGCGAGGTGACAGGAGAGGCCCTGTGTGTGTGTGTGTGTGTGTGTGTGTGTGTGTGTGTGTGAGGTGGGGGGAATTGAAAAGTTTTGGCCTCTGAGGGCAGAGCCTGGGACAAGTGGTGGGGCCAGGAGCAGGGAGAGAAGCTAAGGGGACGGGGGAGGGACACAGAGGTGGAGCTCCCAGTAGGAATGATGTGCATCTGGGACCCGTGGCACTCTCCTGCCTCAGTAGCAGGGATTCCTGCTTGGGAGGGAGATCAGACAGATCCAAGATCACCTCGACTGACCTGAAGCACGTTGCCTAATTTCTCTGAGCCTCAGTTTCCCCATATGTAACACGTGGATAATAGTACACAAGTCATGGGGCTGCTGTGTGATTTAAGTGACTGACAAAGCCTGTGGCTTCTACCTGGTGCGAGGCATACAGTCCGTTTAATATCCTTGTCAAAACTTACCTTACAGTTGTTAAAGTAGCCTGCTGGCTGGGGTCCCTGGGTGGCTCAGTTGGTTGAGCATCGGGCTCTTTTTTTTTAAACTTTAAAAAAAATGTTTATTTTTGAGAGAGACAGAGACAGAGCACGAGCAGGGGAGAGGCAGAAAGAGGGAGACACAGAATCTGAAGCAGGCTCCAGGCTCTGAGCTGTCAGCGCAGAGCCCGATGCGGGGCTTGAACTCACGAACCGTGAGATCATGACTTGAGCTGAAGTCGGACTCAACTGACTGAGCCACCCAGGCGCCCCAAGCATGGGACTCTTGATTTTGGCTCAGGTCATGATCTCAGGGTTTGTGATTTTATATTAAATATAAATATATATGTATATCTATAAAAATAAATAAATAAACTTAAAAAAATAGTTTGCTAGCAACATGATGGTTTATATTTTTCTAATTGTTTTTATTGTGGTAAAATACATATTAAAAAATTTACCATCTTATGATGATTTCTTTTTCTTTTTCTTTTTTTTTTTTTTAACTTTTATTTTCCTAAGTAATCTCTACACCCAATGTGGGGCTTGAACTTACAGCCCTGAGATCAAGCATTGCATGCTCTACTGACTGAGCCAGCCAGGCACCCCAATGGTTTCTTTTTAAAAGAATAGGGAAGGGAATCAAAATGGTGATATATTGGTGTCCAGTGTGCTCTTCCTCCAGCTTTCCCTAGGCTTGAGAATTTTCAAAATAAAAGTTGGAAGATAAGAGGTCCCCATTGGGGCAGGGTTCTGAGCACTTCCCAGGTTCCTGGGCCTGCAGACTGTCTGCAGAACTTGACTCTCTTGTGTCTTTGTGGCCCACTCACCACCCCCCCCCCACACACACACCCAGGGGAAGCGGAGATGGTGGGCCCTCCCACATTTGCCCTCTCTCATTCAAGGCAAAGACTCTTGGGGCCCCATTTCGCGTATGTGCAAACTGAGCCCAGAGAGAACACTGGGCTTCACATAGCAAGGAAGAGGTGAACCCAAGGTCTGCCTCTTAAGTCCACCCTCATTCTCTTGGTGGGTGCAATGCGCTTTGTATCGACCCCAATTCTCCCAGCCTCCTGT